TAATTTATGGGTATTATCATAACACTTTCTACCTGATTTGTTGATTCCTCAACTCTCCTGATAAACTCTGAGCTTTCCAAGACTCAATAACTGTGAGAGTCTGTGAACACTGGCAAAGGACAAAAGCACCATCCCTTTCAAAAACCCTGACTTAGCACAGCAGTGACTTAGTAACTTGGAGCAAAGCTGATATTATGTCTTTGGGGAAACACTTTAAGCCTCAGTAGGGGAATAAAAGAGTTTGTACTTGTAATTAACAGTACAAACTCTCCCTTCCCTCACAGAATTCCTAAAGGAAAACAAAACTAGGTATAGAAAGGAGTGTGTGTGTGGGTGTGTCTCTGTGTGTGTGTGTCTCTGTGTGTGTGTGTCTGTGTGTCTGTGTGTCTGTGTGCCTGTGTAGTGATATGAATTCTCACTTAAGCAAGGTAATGGAAGCAATTTGGAATAAAAATAATGTTTCTTTTTTTTTTCTTTAAGTTTTGAAGTTTAAAACTAAAGGTTGTCTACCTGCAAAGTGAAACAGTTTTCTTGTTTTTTTCCCCCCAAGTACATTAGTGCTAAATGGATTCCTTGTGCTTCATATTAATAATACCGACAGCCAATTAAACTCTGAGGAATGAAGTATGCTAGCAAAGTTTCAGGCAACTTGGTAAGTGCTAAAGTAGTATAAAAACAACAAAACGTTTATTAAAGTTTTGGTTAATCATTGTCTCAGAAAAAAAGAGATGATGAAAGCTTCCAGTATTCAGAAATTCATTTTTTTCTCTATGTTCTCCTTTTCTTGCTCTGTGTAACCAGCACATTCTTAAATATATATCATCATTAAAGACATTTCTAACACATACTATGTATGGGTATTTCCTTTTTTGAATACAGCCGTGAGGATTTTAGTTATTTACATATAAGGCTCAGGCTCACATATTTTTGAACCTGTTTATAAACAATGGAAGTGAACAATGTCATGAGCTCCTTGTGTTTCAACACACTCTACCAACTCCTTGCACAATGGCAAACAGTGTCTTGTCTTTCAGATGTGTTGATGTTCATGTTATTACTCTAAACGAAACTCCCAGTAGCATGGGATCTTACAACCAACAAGCAGACTGAAATCAATGACACTGGTATATTATGAAATATTTGTTAGCAATATTGGAGATGGGATGGGCATGAGTATATTTTACATGGCTCAAGTCTCCTGAAGGAGACTCAAGAAAAATATCACCAACAATCTAGGGCTTAGGTCAATTGGGAAATGGACAACCTAAGTACCAGTGGGTAAGATAATTGTCAGGATCCCTGAGCATGAGCCAAGGATGGGTAAGTAATGTCACTGGATCTCCTAGAACCAGAGCCAGAGGATTAAAGCCTTCTTAGCACCATCCTTACTCTTCAAAACTACAGGAGTCAGAAATTTGGCACTAACCTTTTAAAATAATTGCAACTTTTAACCCACATATGATTCCCCTCAAGCAAGCAAGTATATCTCACACCCTGGAATCCAATGGCCATTTTAGAAAATGCTTTACCTATATAAAATTCAAATGCCCAAATGAAATAAAATATTCATTATCAGGTATACTTATCAAGGGGAAAATAAATATCAAGGTCATTTAAGTCCCATAGGTTTTCCAGAGAATTTCCTGGCAAGATTACAAAAATAATCAGATTTTGCCTGTCAAGTGATGCAATGGCCTCCTCTTGTCATGGCTTTTGGAACAATGTCAGTTTAAAGGACTTCCACTTCTGGGAAGATGGAGTAGTGTAATTTTCTCTATTACTCCCACTAAGTACAACTAAAAACTGCTGGACACTATGTATAAAATAAACCTAAGAAGACTCTGAATGGTGGAGAGAAGAACACATGTTTAAGGATCTTGAGAACCAATGAACAATAGTGAAGAATTTCCCAGATTTTCTTTTTGTCTCATACATCTTAGACTTGTTGCTGAAGAAGTCAGCAACCTGGAGAGACCAACTGGTGCAGATAAAAAGTAAATCCCAATTAGAAGCCTGATCTCTATATTCAAAGGCCCAGGAAAGGGACAGCATAGTAAGACAGAATATCTTTAGACAATAACTGCTCTATACCAGCCAAACACCATACAAAAAATCCTGACCCTATTTCCATTCATCCATGCTATAACAAGCTGTCAAAACCCCTGATCAAGATTGGGTCAGAGAAGACTGAGTAGGGAACAGGGACTTTAAGCCTTGTCAGAGAGTAGCAAGCCTCTCCCTGTAGTATCAGTTGAAACCACATGTCTGGCAGAGCTTGGACTATGTACCCCCACTCAGCAGTTATGAGCCACCCCATCCACTTCCTGCACGAATGGTACTGAAGACGTTTTAGTGCCAAATCATGACTTTCATCACAGTTTAGTAATAACAAGGACATCCCCCCATAAATACACACTATGATGACAATGGAGGTCATGTGGAGAACAGTGATGAGGTTTTCATACACATGCCAGCCAGTTAGAGATATCACTGAATAGTGTTTGGGGAACTAGAGCTCTTATTCCTCCCCACCTTACACTTAGGTGTCAATGGGGTCTGAGCGGAAAACCTGGACACTACCCCCACCTAGGAGAAATTAGGTAAAATCCCCTCTCTCCTATTGGAATAGTGTCAGAGGAAGACAGCTAATACAGAATAGCTAATCAACAGCTAATATGATTGATCATAGCATAATCCCTAAACTGACCAGGTTAAAATAAAAATCCTCTTGTCATACCAAGAAACAGGAAGACCTCAAATTAAATGAAAAAAGACAATCAATAGATGCCAACCCTGAGATGACAAAAAAAAATAATGTTAGAATTATTTGAAAAATATGAAAAATAGTTTTAAGCAGCCATTATAATAAAAATCCTTCAAGCAATGATCGCATATTTGAGACAAGAAAATAGAAAGTGTTAGCAAGGAAACATAAAAGGTAAAGAAGAACCAAATGAAAGTTTAGAACTTAAAAATACAGTAAGAGTCATAAAAATAATTAAGAGATATGCACAATAACAGAATGAAGATAATAAGAAAAGAATTAGTGAACTTGAGAATCTAACAATAGAAATTACTCAACTTGAACAAAAGACAAAAGAAACCAAGAAGAAAATAAGAAGAGAGGATCAGGGACTTGTGGGCTTATAATGAAATTTCTAGCATTCATTGTTGTAGAATTCAGAAAAGAGAAAAAAGAGAGGACTAAAAATTACTCAAATGGCAGAATACTTCCTAAGTTTGTTGAAAGACAGCAGCCCACATACTCAAGAAACTGAATGAAATACAAACAAGATAAACCTAAAGAAATCACACAACACATAATGGTCAAACTTTTGAAAACAAAAGACAAAAGAAAGATCTTGAAAGCATTGAAAGAGAAATGACAGCTTATATATGGGGCAAAATATCTTAGTAATAGCGGATTCGTCACCAGAAATCATTGAAGCCATAAGAAAGTGGCCTAATATTTTTCAAGGACTGAAAATAAATAAATAAATAAATAAAACCAGAGTCTTCTAGACAGAGAACATACCCTTCAAGAATGGAATGGCTACCAAGACATTATAGATTGAAAGACAACTAAGAATTTGTCACCAACACACACCTTGAGAAATGGCAAAGGAAGTTGTTTAAAACAGAAATAAGAGGATAAAAGAAGGAATCTGGAAAGCTCAGGAGGGAAGAAAGAATAACAGTAAGCAAAAATAGTAAGTAAAATAGATTTTCTTCCCTTGAGTTTTCTAAATTATGTTTGACAGTTGAAGCAAAATGACACTGATAAAGATTCTAAATGTAGAGAAAGGAAATAATAAAATAATTATATAATAAGCAGGCATAGATAAAGGAAAATATTTTAAAAAGAGATTGACAAAGTGGATTTAAAAATGACTGTACTATTTATTGTGTACAAAAAACTCACTACAAATATGGGCAAGTTAAATGTATAAAATGAAAAAATGGTATGTTCATATAAACATTCATTGAAAAAAACAGGAGTGTTGGGCGCCTGGGTGGCTCAGTTGGTTAAGCGACTGCCTTCGGCTCAGGTCATGATCCTGGAGTCCCTGGATCGAGTCCCGCATCGGGCTCCCTGCTCGGCAGGGAGTCTGTTTCTCCCCCTGACCCTCCTCCCTCTCATGCTCTCTGTCTCTCATTCTCTCTGTCTCAAATAAATAAATAAAATCGTTAAAAAAAAAAAAACAGGAGTGTTTATATTAATATCAGATAAAGTAGATTTCAGAGCAAAGTTAATTATCATAGAGAAGAACATTACATCATGATAAAAAGGTCAATCCACCACAAAGACAACAATGTTGTGTATGTATTAAACAACAGAGATATAAAATATATGAAGCAAAACAGATAAAACTGGAAGGAGAAATGAACAAATCCACAATTATAGTTGGAAATATCAACACCACTATTCAGTAATTACTATGTACAAGGCACTCCTCTAGTTACTGGGTATGCAGTGATGAAAATGAAAAAGACAGTTCTGGCCCTCAGTCTATTGGGGAAGATAAATGTTAATGAATTAGAAAAGTATATAACTTGCCAGCATGATAAATGCTACAAAAGAAATCTCAAAAACACATGAAGTTTAACCTCTTTTGTTCAAAATTCCATATTTTAATACAAATAATGAGACAAATACACAGTTCCCAAGCTATAGAATTTAATAGAATCTGTGGCTCCACTGTTGCATTTCCCAGAGATAATAAAGAGATTGGTGTTAACCAGGGTAAGCTGCAAACACTCCCCACAGTTAGCACACAGCTGATAGCCAGGAAAATGGAATTCTCTAGGTGCTTCTAATGTATTGTTACTCCTGATAACGCAATTCACACTGACTCAGTTCCTGCCTTTTCTCTTCTCTCCAGTTTCACCTGGGAGACTGATAGGACCTCAAAAAGTATAATATAAACACATTGTAAAGAGGGAAAAAGACTTACTCCAATGTATTAGAAACCACCATGCTGAGAAAGATGTTAACTTACCACAGTGTAGATCTGATGCTTTCGTCTTTTAGCCAGGTCAATTATGTTTACTCCATTATAATAAAGGTTTTCAATACATCCATGGAAGTTTTTCTTTAAAAAGGTCCCAGGTTTGCCTGGTACTGGAATTCCTCCAAAACTAAGCTTTATGAAGAGAAGAAAAAAAAGAATCAACTCTTAGTTATAAGCCCCGAAGGAGTAGGAAAGAAAAGTAAGCAAGTGAATTTTAGTAGTTTCAATTGTATGTGCGAGCCAAGTGGCTCAAATAATTATAGATGCCACTTGATTGCACATTTAAAAGGATACTGATTAGCCCACATAAAAATAACTATAATTGCTCGCTTTTTAAGGGCTTATTTTACAAAACTATTTCACTTCCTTTCTGAACCTTTTTAATACTAAATAAAACAATAATTTATAGAAGGAGGGAAAAATTTTTTAAAAATCATCAACTTTATATTTATCTCTTGTGCAAACATCTGAGAGATTATGGCCAAATGAAAGCAAGGGACAAACAGAATATACCTCTATTCACCTACAAAGATACCTAGTTTAAAAGTCTGCATTGTACCAAAAAAGCTTGTGTACATGATTATTTCCAAATTATTTTCTATAAAGACAAAAGATAGGAAATAATCCAAATATCCCATACAATTTCTTTAAAGGAAATAATCAAGAATTAATATGTGGAGATTTACTTAGTTGTCAGTAACGGTGCTTATTAAACATGTGTGATAAAATGGCAAATGAGCATAATGCTGATTGAGAAATCAAGTTATGATGTCAACAACAAAAAATTGTTCATACAGCATAGACTTGGAGGAAATGCACTGAACTGTTAATCACGATTGTTTTTGGGAAGAGCACGAGATACTCGTTTTGTATTTTTTTTACTGCCGTTCTTTCTAGTAAAATATTACAAATTGCTTTAATAATGTAATACTGGGGCGCCTGGGTGGCTCAGTCATTAAGCATCTGCCTTTGGCTCAGGTCATGATCCCAGGGTCCTGCGATCAAGCCCCGCATTGGGCGCCCTGCTCTATAGGAAGTCTGCTTCTCCTTCTCCCACTCCCCCTGCTTGTGTCCCCTCTCTCGTTGTCTCTCTCTGTCAAATAAATAAATAAAATCTTAAAAAATAATAATAATGTAATATGATTTAAAGAACAAACATAGTTTGTTGTGAATATTCTTCCCATTATACAAGAGAAACAGGATAGTTTCTATAATCATGTTTATCACAACAGGATTCAACGTGTAAGCCATATTTTCTTCACTGCTTTGAAATGTTACCTTCAGCAAGAATTTAAACCATACTGATGCTTGGGTGTGTTTCAGGAAGATGTGTTCTCCCAACCAGAATGCCTTTGTTTTATACGAATATCTCTTCATATACCCAGGGCTATTTCTAGACATCTATTTTTTCCTCAAAACTTCCACACTATTTTAGAAAAATTGTAGTATGTGATAAGGATTATTTACCCTGCTGTCTACTTTTACTTGTTATTGCTTTATTCTGTAGGAAAATTATTTTATATTTTTGCATATTTTATCTTAAAGTTGAATTTCAGAATTATTTTATCTCAAATAACCTGTTGGAATTTTGATTGAGAATTTGTTATTTCCATTGACATATTTACTTGGAGAAGAATGGATATTTTTGAAGTATTTCATCTTTCTATATAAGAACACAATGTCTTAGTCTATTTTCAAATATTTTTGGTGAGATCCATCACCTAAGGTTATCATTTTTTACCCTAGTTCATATATTCATCATTAAATTAATTTCTGCGAATTTCATGTTTTTAAATTTTGCTACTGTATGGAATCTAAAAAAAAAAAAAGAAAGAAAGAAACAAATGAACTCATAGATATAGAGAAGAGATTGATGGCTCCCAGAGGTAGGGGGTAAGGGTAGAAGAAAGGGGTAAAAAGGAACTCAAAAGGTACAAACTTCCAGTTATGAAATAAATAAGTTGTAAGATGTAATGTAAAGCATGGTGACTATAGTTAATAATACTGTATTATATGTTTGAAAGTTGCTAAGAGAGTAGCTCTTAAAAGTTCTCATCACACAAAAAATAAATCTGTAACTATGTGGGATGATGGATGTTAACAAGACTTATTGTGGTGATCATTTCACAATATATACACATATTGAGTCACTATGCTATACACCTGAAACTAATATATGTCAAATACATCTCAAAAAATTCCATTATAAATGAATTGTTTTCATTAATTAAACATTGTGTCATATAAATTACATGACTATCCTATTGTTTTCTCTATCCAGATAATTTTATATTAAATAATATGTTTTAGCTAATATCATTGAACTTTTAAAGGAAATAATCATAAGTCATATTTAAAACACTTTACCCTCTTCCAAGACAATGCTTATATATTTTTTCTTGTTCCACTCTCTTTGTAAAAACTTTCTAAAATCTGTCCAAAAGTTTTAAAATATTTATTTTACAGAGAGCAAGAGAGAGAGAGAGAGCAAGGTAGGGAGGGGCAGAGGGAGAAGAAGAGAGAAACTTGAGCAGACTCCTTGCTCAGTGCAGAGCCCTATGCAGGGCTCCATCCCATGACCCTGAGATCAGGGCCCTGAGATCACAACCTGAGCCAAAGCCAAAAGTCAGATACCCAACAGACTGAGCCACCCAGGTGCCCCTGTCCAAAACTTTTTAAACAATATTAAATCGTTTGTATGTATGGTATCATACAGAACTTTGCAAAAAAAAAAATAGTATTTTTTTTTAGATTTAATTAATTTATTTATTTGAGAGACAGAGAAAGAGGGAAAGAGAGAGAGCACAAGCCCAGGAGAAAGGCAGAGGGAGACGAAGCAGGTTCCCTGTTTGAGCAAGGAGCCCGATGCGTGGCTCGATACCAGAACCCAGGGATCATGACCTGAGCCGAAGGCAGATGCTTAACCAACTGAGCCACCCAGGCATCCCAAAATAGTATTCTTTATATATTTCCTGAGTACATATAATACTGATTCTGACTCTATATCACATTAAAGAGATATCCTTCTACTCCTATTTAACACATAAATTATTTATTTATTTTTTTTATTTATTTGAACTGAGAAATGAATGCTGTTTTATCCATTGCTTTTTAAGATATCCCTATAAAATAAGAATACAGGGTATTTTGTTTAAACTCCTGATGGGTTGAATTATATTAACAGATCATAAATTAATAGATTCTCTTTGATTGAACCACATATGTGCTCCATTTGCTCTGAAATGCATGTGCTCGCATTTTAAGTAGAAAATGAATTTGAGCTCTAATTTTCTTCTTTTGTCAAGTATTTAGATCAAGTTCAGATTTATCTGAGAACAACTCTTGGAGTTTTATCTTTGATTCTATTTAAGGATGACTCATAAAGCTTGGGGAATACTCTGGGGAACTTAAAAAACACCAATGAATTTATTTAGTTCAGAAATATTTTGTAAAATTCTTTGATAACTTATATAAAATCTTCCTTGATCTGTTGCAATATTCAAATATTTTCAATATGATTCAGTTATGTTAAAAAAAAGATACTTTTGGGTGCCTGGGTGGCTCAGATGGTTAAGCGTCTGCCTTCGGCTCAGGTCATGATCTCAGGGTCCTGGGATCGAGTCCCACATCGGGCTCCCTGCTCCTTGGGAGCCTGCTTCTCCCTCTGCCTCTCTCTCTCTCTCTCTGTCTTTCATGAATAAATCAATAAAATCTTAAAAAAAGATACTTTTCTGTTTTCTAAATTGTTGCCATAAATTAGTAAAAACTAGATTGAATATTTGTTATTTTTACTTTTTTTTTTTTGTAAATAAAATTTGTTGGAGAGGTTTAGGTTCACAGCAAAATTGAGAGGAGGGTACAGAGGTTTCCCATACACCTCTGTCCCCACACAGGCATAGATTGTTTCATTATCAACATCATTCAGCAGAATGGTGCATTTGTTTCAACTGATGAACCTGCATTGACACATTATAATCACCCAAAGTCCATAGTTTACATTACAGTTCACCCTTGGTGTTGTGCATTCTTTGGGTTTGGACAAATGTATAATGCCATATACAGTATCATACAAAATAGTTTTACTGCACTAAAAATAACCTCTGAGCTCTGCCAATTCACCCCTCCCCCGTGCCCCCCAACTGTAAGCCCTGGCAATCATTGATCTTTTTCCTGTCTCCATAGTTTTTCCCCTTTCCAGAATGTCATACTGTTGGAATCATATAGTATGTAGCCTTTTCAGATTGGCCTATTTCACTTAGTAATATGTATTTAAAGTTTTCCCATGCCTTTTCATGGCTTGATGGTTCATTGCTCTTTAATGTTGAATATATTCCATCTGGCTATACCACAGTTTATTTATCCATTCACCTACTAAAGGCCATGATGGTTGCTTCCAAGTTTTGGCAACCATGAATAAAGCTGTTGCAAACATCCATGTGCAGGTTTTTGTGTGGACATAAGTTCTTAATCATTTTTATAATTTTAAATATATAATGACACTTTTTAAAATGTTGGCCACCTTTCTCAATTTGTAAAAATGTTTTTAACGCTCTACTTCACTCACTTGGGATTTAGGAAAATAGTAATCACAGGGAAATACTTGAAAAAGAGATAAAGACAAAAAAACTCTTTTCAATAGCAAAAATTAGTGTTTGAAAGATTTGAGGTAGGTTGATTTCTTTCTTTCTTTCTTCCTTTTTTTTTTTTTTAGAAGTCAAGTAGTATAGATAATACTATCTACTGCAAAATCGTGATTTTCTGTCACACTAAGGACAAAAACGAAAAAGCTGTTTCTAGCCTGGGTGGAGGACATTTGGAGAAATTTGGTGGAGACAAGATATAGTTAGACAGTAGTGTAGGCCCTGTTCTTTGATTCTCTACAAAACTGAAACCTGCTGAGGTTGGGTGGGAGGGGGGTGTTCATATTGATCACAAGACAGATTTTGGAAAACATAGTTATTCCCCCCTTATTCCCCAAACAGTTTATTACAGATTTCTCAAATTCAGCAGGGTCCGAGAGTAAAACTTCGCCAGAAGGGAGACAGACTATCAATGGTTGAGGTAAATGACAATACAGAAAGGTCTGAGGGTTCTTCACAATAACCTGGTCACTCTAGTATAGTGGGAGGTAG